CTCTCTCTCTCTCTCTCTCTCTCTCTCTCTCTCTCTCTCTCTCTCTCTCTCTCTCTCTCTCGCTGCCTCCCTTCTTCTCTCTCTTTTTCTGCATTAATTACTAAAGATACAGAGCATTGCATCATCATTTTCACGAACACGATGCAATCTCGATGGCTCTCGCGATAGCGACGACGGAATCACGTCAACGCCATTGTCTACGGTATACATTTAGTCGCATCATTTTGTACAGTATAGCCATAAAACTTAAAACTAGAAATATTGCACGTGAAATTGAACAGTGTTGGCGGCATTTTCGGAGATATTGTGTAAAGCATATTTTGTTTAAGATTTGTTAAAATTGCTTTACGGCGGTCAAAGCGACGTTATAATTATTATAAAGGTAATCCGTCGCATTTGCAGAGATAAATGAACAACACGACACGTTACATTCGTGTGGAAGTGAAAAAAATCAACGTGTAAACTGCCAAATTAAAAGCCCGATAACATGTTTAGATCGCCTAAGATTCTATAGCGCACTGATCAATCGTAATCATAGGAATATAATTGATTTACTTGAACAGTTAACTTTATTATATAATAATGAAATAGTCGTAATCTAACATGGGCGCACTTTGCTCATTTGTTGCTACAATTTATAATGACATGGTTCCGAAACTCCCAAATTATCCGAAAGATCGAAACGTCGTTTACATTTCACATTTCTATGATTCGAGACTTTGCTTGTTCATCTTACTTCGTTATAATAGTCACGTGGTGGCGTTAACTATGTCACTACGTTCTCCTAATCTTGAGCATGTGCAAATTGGGGTGCCATGGCACTTTTCTGAAGGTCGACGCTCCTGTTTCCTCGGGCGACGGATCCTCTTCATTGGCTTCGTCTATTGACGCGCGCATCAGATCAATCCCGGCACTGCTGCTGCTGAGTACCCTTCGATGTGTGCTCGCCGCGTCGCCGTTGTATCTACCGGCACCGGGATCACTCAATACTCGACGGTGTTTCCTCTGGCGACAATGACGGTGATGATAGTGTTGCTGCTGATACTGCTGCTGCTGCTGCTGCTGCTGCTGCTGCTGATGATGATGATGATGGTGACGATGGTGACGGTGGTGATAATGATACTGCTGTCCACATAAAGATTCGTCGCACTTGAAGTTCGGCAGATGTACGGGAAAAACAGGATTCGGGTCCAGATACAACCAGCTCGCGCTGTCCACGTAAGGAAGGAGATGCACCGCGTCCAGTGATAGTGAATGCGGGTACAGCAAACGTTTGCGAGCGGCGTATTCGTTGCCCATTGACGATTCAAGCACCAATCTCCCGGAAGAGAGAGAATCTCGCGAGCCAGGATGTGCTCTGTCGGCGTGAGATTTGTTCGTCTTTTATAAATGGACAATGTGATAACAATGGGTAACTTTAATCGTTTGTATTTGAAAAATGATTGTGGTCGCTATATCTTGAGATACGAAGGTATCTTTTATAATAGTATAATATGATACAATTTACCAACTAAGAGGGATGTCAAATCTCTTGTCCGAAAATTTCACGAGCCATTTCTCCCTCGCAACATTAGACTTTCCTTTAGAGGAAATAGGGATACCGTAAACAGAGAGGATCGTACACAGAGGAAACATCGTGTAATACCGAAGAAACAGAGTTAGGCGTACTATTATACCAAGCTCCAACAAACCTGTGCAGAAGTCTTTGGGAGATTCCGCGTTGTCAGTTGAGAGGGTGCTCTCCCCTCGGCATTCTATAACATTTATTCCACGCCTCCAGCAGCAGTACACAACTATGGAACCTGTAAAAGATAAGCAGAGGCAGGCCGATCCTAGACAGCACGCCCCAAGCGAGCACACCGAAGAACCTGAGTTGCAGTTCCTGCGACAGCCAGTTTTGCGTGATGACCGTGTCAAAGGCCCAAAGAACGGCATTGCTGAAGAGCAGGAAGGTTATGACCTGACGACCCGGTTTCGCCAGCATTTGGAAGCGTGTGATGCACGAGCGTCGCGAAGTCTCGGCGATCAATGTGCTCTGCGCGAAGCACTGCACCAGCTGCAGAATCGATGTCGACAGCAGCATGATATGCCTCGCCCGAGTGTCCTCGTTCTCGCTGTCATCCGATGTCGCCAGAGAACAAGCGCACACCACGATGGTGAATACGGAGTAGAGTTGCACGCCAAAGAGCGACACGTTCGATAGGAGACTGTCCAGGGCGGCCGGCGCTCTCGTCACCACCGAGATCTGGCGCACTTGCACGAGGCCGCTGGCGGTCATCAGACTGCTGAGCGTCAGTATGCCGATCAGAGTGCCGCAGGTAAGCCAGGAGAGAGTGGCCGACGGGAAATTCTCGTCCTCCCGCACAACCAGGAAGATGAGAATCACCACGATGCCGGCGACCATACACAGGATACCCAGGAAAAGACCCTTGCTGGAGCCGTCGCAACCTATTCTGCTGTGACTGCTCAGATCCTTGCTCCCATGAAACTTTTGCTTCATCAGCCGGTTCCGGCCGACATTCTGACCCATTACGAAGGTCACCGCCGCGGCGATTAGACTGCATATCGAAAATGCATATCGGATGAAACAATGGGAGTTATTAACGCGCGACGCAAGAGCATACTTTCTGTCGGCTATAGACGCGACTCAGTGTCGATAATTACGATGTAACGCACCTGAATTGAACAATGAAGGGATAGAGGAAGGGCATACTCGAAGTCCACAATTGTCCTAAGGTGTTGGTGTTCAAGCACTCCTGCAACGCGATCACCTGAGAGATTTGTTCGTTGGAGACAGGTTGATAAGGTTTGAAGGTGCTCGTTTTCGTCGTAGAATCTTCTGAAATAAAGCGGAGTTGCGTCACTCTCTGTTCTCTTATTCAAACGAGATTCAAGCGAGATTGAGACATTATGTGTCGTATCGCACACACATAATGTCACATAATGATACATAGGCGAATGCACACCTATAAGATCTCGCGACTGTCTCGTCAGGGATCCGGGAAATCCTCGTAGATTTAGCGGAGACACGGATGTTTCCTGCTCGTGCTGCGCCAAGTGTACAAAGTAAGTCCATTCTTGCGCGGAGTCCCATATCACTAGACGCGTCCAGACCGCGATATTCGTGGCTGCGAGGTGCGTGAAGCCGAATCTGGCTGCTAGACCGAAGCGTTCCACGAGGACCTGAGGAGTTGCCGGTAGGACAGAATGTTCTCTTGGTAAATCTCGAATAAATATGTAACGTCGATCAATTTCCAATGAAATTTCATCGAACGGTTTCGTTTTTCGTTTTTCCAAATCTGAATTTAGAATCTGTAAGAATCTTCCGTGCGCGTTTTGATGCGTTCGCTGTACGATTGTATAGCGATACATGGCGAAACGATCAGAGCGGAACGAAGAAACGCGTTCACGCATTGTCTGACCACGTACGTGTTCTGTTTAATGCAATTAACGTAAGACTGATGCTCGCCTGCGAGTTTACGAAGAGAAAGTGCATCTGCAAGAAGGTGAACAGGCCGTGCAGCACTGGGTGCACGAAGACAACGTCGGTCAAGCATTCGGCGCCCTGCATCATCGAGTGCATCGCCATCTCCAGACCGTTGAAGACCAGCGTCGCCAGGCCAAACACTGAAACATCATATATGCTGATTCGCGGTCGGGTCTGTTTCGCGAATTGTAGTAGCAGCAGCAGCAGCAGCAGCAGCAGCAGCAGCAGCAGCAGTAATGAGAACGATGCGTCTCGCTACTGTTGTTCACTGACGCTTGGTTCAGTGGCCATTTCATGTTGTCATTGATAAAAGTTTCAGTTTTTGGAATCAAATCCTTGAAAACGTCTCGTCACACGAAACACGAAATTTCGAATCGGATGGAATTTTCAGTGAGACTCAAGGAAATTCTTCGGATGGATTGAATGATGAATTTCGGATAATTTTCCCGTGAAATTCGCTGTCCGATCGGCTGTGGCTAAAAACGCCGTGAACACTTACGAAGCGCGCCGACACGTATGTAAAAACTGGTTGGTGCAGTCCTGGCTCTGGAGATGTGCGCTCGTTTTAACGACCCAAACCTGGTGAGCGACGCGCCGCCGAGTTCCGCGTCACCGAGCCCGTTACCACCTCGGCTCAAGCTGCCACAGCTGTCGACCAGCACCCATATGTAAATGCCGATGATGACGGCGATGCTGCCCACGTAGAGGTACATGAGGAAGACGCCCTGAAATGCGATTACGCGACTCTCTATGCGCTCGTTGTGCGAAAGCGGATGTTTGCGCCGGAGCGGAATTTTACGGCTCATTTCGAGGGAGGACCGAGCGCGGCAAATCGATCTAAAGCTTGGTCTCGCCTGTGTGCTTTTTTGATTCACGAATAGGAGTTTCTAGCTCAAAGTCGTCTGTGCGTCTGGTGCTCGGACTATCCTCGGACAGTGCGAAGTAACGGTATCGATAATCCAAACTCCGACAGCGCGATTACGACTTGGACGCATATACAGCTACGAAACGGAATCCTGAAACGGACTCGCTTACGGAACGTTTCGGTCGCGATGAACCAAACGATGGTTGCTACCTACTTGCAAACTGAGCAGAGGTACAGGCGTGTCCATGACCTCGGCCAAACATAACGCCATCGTTAGGACGACGATAAGCTCGCCGTACACGTTTGAGAGAACGACCCATAGTTGCGAGCTGCAACAAGACAACACGTCGGACGAATTGTAACCAGATATTCCAGGTTCATAGAAGCCTTTTGCTTCTCTCGCTCTCGTATTATCCAGCTTGAGAACGCCCGCCGCACATCATCCGCGACTCGATTGACCAATAATCCTTTCAACATTCATCCATCCATTCATTCGTTCGTTCGTTCATTCCGCCCCTCTCCACCAGTCTGCTGGCGCTCCAAGCATGACAATACGAAACAGAATCGAGATCTCACTAGGGTTCCGAGTGATCCAGCAAATCGTCAGGAGATCGCGTCCTCGCCAGGATCCTCGAGACCAAGGACCTCGCTGGTTGCGCCGAGCTGGTGGATGCCTGCGCGGGCGGCTGCTCGTTGTCCTTGGTCCTGTCAGCCCTGCTCGGGGCACCACCCGGCACACCCTCCACGGTGCCGCCCGTTGTACTTCCGGTCTCGTTCAGGCTGTCCTTGTCGTGCTGTTCATTGCCCGCTGCGAGTGACAGAGAGAAAGAAGGAACGGAGAGTGAGAAGCGCGCGCATAACGTTCGGCGTCGTACCTATGCAGCAACCGGAAAAGTGGAACCCCGTTCTTCTTGCTACTTTCTTTGGGTCGTCGGAGAAATGTATGTAACTTTCGCTGAAAGAATTTATTTCTGCGAGATCCGCGCCGCGGTAAGCGCGCGCTTACCACGGCGCAACGACGCACCGCCCGCGGCCAAATAGATTCTCTCTTGCGGGGATCTCGCGTACACATCTGCCGTGTGTGTTGTGTGCCCGATCGTGCACGCTCGTAAACGCGACGCTCGAGGAACGCGGCGTTCGGCACATGTTGCCTGCTTCTCGCGCGTATGACCGGTTTTTTCTAAAACCGTTCGTACAGCAAAGACATCATTCCATTGAATTTCATACAACAGCTAGAAGAAAATCTCCGTTAGAGCTAAACGAGCTAAACATTCCCTCGTTCCCTTCGGCATGACGGATTCATTTCCCGATTCATGTCACAATGGATCGACGCGACACGATCGCTCTTTTCTTCTCTTGTATCGCGAAGCATTCGTTTTAGCCGCAATAAGCCGCAAGAGTCGCAAGAGAGCAATGATGCTTGTTCCGCTGTTGTGTGCACGCCGCGACGTGCGAGGCTTCTTTCGTAGTAAAAGTTCGGCTCTCCGGCGCGTTAAATAGCTGGCAATTACTGCGAGTGTAATGCCGTGTAATTAGTAACGGCGAAACCAAAGTTCTCTGGCGCGAATTCGTCCAACTGCTTTATCACTCGCGCAGTGAATTAATGTTCTAGCTCCGCGTTTCATTCGCGTTGCCTTCGCCTTCGAGTATATCGATCGTAACGAATTATACGCATTGTATCGATTCAATCATCGAACGTATATCGTATAATCGTGATTCTCAGTGGCGTGATTCAAGTGACGACCATTGCGTGGACGCTGCGTGCGTGTGTGTATGTACGATCGTCGACTTGTCAATACGTTGAATATATTGTTATATTTATTGTTTCGGTATTTGTAATCGGTGTCTTTATTGAAATTTGACTAGATGTACACTCGACGACTCAAACAGTATCACACTCGCGATTCAAGTCTTTCGACATTCTTTAATCACTCAAAATACACTCCATTCGTTGCGGATTACATGTCCTATGTATCGCGCGATTTATCGATATTTCAAATACATAAAACGACTGTTGTTTTCATTAACCTCGATTTTTCTCCTGTCGTTCTCCAGGATGAATATGCTCCTTGTACTTATCTGCACGAGATAGATAGACTCACTGTCCTTAATGAACCTCAGGGAATATTACGATATCCTTTATCGACGATTTGAGAAAGGAATCGCTTCCACGCGAAACATAACGAGTTGCTCAAGAAAGCGAAGTATCGAGGATGAATTCTAAGCGAAGACTAGGCGCTTTTGACGACCTATTTACACGCGATCGATATCGCGGCATAGTGATCCGTAACGAACAGGACATTACAATTACGGGTACGCGTAAGTGGCGGTTGTACGCGAAATCGGCTAACAAGCTCTTGGATTCGTTCCGTTACTCTGGCGCGCACGCACTGTCGTTGCGATCTTTCCGCGTGCTAAAATCGACGTTATCATCTGTTCCGATTGTATGTACATACGTAGGTATACATACAAGGCAGTATCAAAAGTCACGAGTCAAAAGTCAAGGCGCGCGCGACAGCTGGCGTACATTGCTCGCCGTGATTAACGAAGCTTGAAGATTATATTGTAGGTTCTGGAACGGAGACATGTGTTTGATCGAGGATGACGCGACGATGGAGCGCCGACGGGAGTCACTACAAAGGACTACCGTGGATTGAAGAGGTGAAAGGTTCTCTGACAGAAGGCATCGTGAGGATCCTTTCGACTCGGATGTTGTACTCGACACGAGACCTTGCGGTAAATATCTTGCGGTAAATGGGACTTGTACCTGTTTGTCGACGACGACGACGACGACGACGACGTTCGTAAAGGTGTGGTTAAATTATTTACTATATGAAGTTAAATTCAAAAAATAAATTCAATAAAAGAAACAAAATTAATTAATATGCGCGCAACAAACGCGTTTGTTCTCTTTTCCTCAAACAAGAGTTATGTCAAACAAGAGGTATTGTCTAGTACGATACATACGGTACGATGCGAGCAAACGAATCTAATGTCCCCGTGCACCTGCGGCGCTTTCCGCACCTGGCAGATTGCGAGTCAATTGCCGAAGCGTTTCCTCTTCGCATCAATAGCGACGAGAGAGTGCCGTAAAGCTCGCTATTGTGATCGAGAAATGATACCGTTTTTATTTTTATCTGTATTTGTGTCATAATATGATACGAGCTAGAATATAATTAATAGATCGCGTTTTACGCATGTGATAAAAATTTGTGGTTCCAGAAGTGAATAAATTTATACGGAATAAATTTATACGGAAAGAAACTTGGCTCTTTGCACATTTCATACAATTTTTCAACCGACACGTCGTCAATACTACAACAATCAACATCATTGCATATTCTTTTATATAAATTCTTTTATAGGTTTCTTTTATGTAAAATTTTCCATTGTGTCACATAGAGAGAGTGTGTCAAGCCAATTTATACCTACATCTATAAATTCTCTACTATTCTGTTTATTTCTTCTTTTTTTAATACTTTTTTACAAATGAAATCCCCCCCCCCCCCCCC